AAACTGACAAGTGTTTTTTAGGGTGTTGTCCGTTCAAGCACTTTTTGTTGTTTGTTTTCATAGTTTAAACCACTCTGTTTTGTTTCAGAATATTTGAGGCTGTTGTGTTTGGAAAACGTACACAAATTTGGACTGCGGGTTTGGATGCTCTGAGCTTGGTGCGGCTGGGTGCCTACAGGAGAAACCTCAGGGAACACCACATCTTTAGGCTAGGTCCTGTTGCTCCTCAAGCTAGGATGGACCATCCCACTTCTCTTCCCATCTGATTGCATGCCCTCACTGTCCAGGCTGGAATTCACATCTAGCTTCCTTACTTTTGAATCACGCTCTATGTTCAACCCCCCTGAATCAAGGGAGACCCTACTTTTCCAGCCCTTTCTTCTCTGCCTCCCCTTGCCTGCATGCTGGCTTTCCCATCATGGACTGGGAGAGAGGGCTGCCCCTGCTAAAGGGTGTCGCTGCCTGAGCAGATTCAGCCACAGGCACATTGGAAATGAATTCCTAATCCTGTCTTTGACAGGAGTGCAGAGTCATCTCCTAGCTGCTCTGTACTGCAGTTTGGGAAACCTCAGTTTTAGGTGTGCATCAGTTTTATTGTCGTTTACACAAAAACATCACATCTTTTGTTTTCTGCACTTAGTAAGGAACGTAGAAGCTCAGCCTCCTGAACATAAGCATTGAAGGCTTTCACCAAATGTAGGTTTGAACTTTTAAGTACATTAATCAATATGAATTGTCTTACTGTTAGGATAATTCTACAGTTAGACTATAGAGCATGTAGTAGCGTAGTTCACAGCAGATTGACTCTTTTTTGGTGGATAAGTAAAGTTTATTTAAAACTAATTAAGAAGACAGTACTTTGAACTGTTTTTTCCAGTTCTGCTACGAGTTTTCTGCAGTTCTGTTATTTGAAACCAAGGAAACCAGTTAAAAGTAAAAGCATAAATACGCCATTTTCATTTTCAGGAGTGAGTGCCTAATATGTGTTCTATCTAATTTTTTTCTGAGGTGATGACAGAAAATTACCCACAATATTTGTACTGCTTCAGGTATATCTTAGCAATAATAAAATTTACTACTATGACTGCTTCCATACTTGATTTTTAATAGAGAGCTGTATCTGTCTCATTTATAAGGCATGTGTGTCTAGGATAAATATTTTTACACCTACTGTTACTGTGAGACTCTGTTTAGATTTTCTCTTTGCCCTGAAAAATAACCTAGAAGCCTTTAAAGGACACTTGGAGTCAGCTGCTGATCTGGTTTAGTACTATTGCTGAAGTTTTTCCTTGGTTTTTAGTAGATTGTTTTGCACCCTGGAGCTGTGTTTTGCCCAACCAAAGTGATGATCTTGACAGCAGGATGTAAGTTGAAGTTTCAGGTCAGACAGGTGCGTGTCTCTGTGTGAATAGGCGCAGAGGCAGAAATCCTCTTTTTTCTTTTTTATTAATTTGTGGTTTTATTGAATAGTTTGGCAACACATTGTTCCATCTAATAAAAAATTGGACTTGACCTTTAAATTTTTTCATTTCAGACAGGAAAGTAGAGTATTCAGGTTCTGTTCACCTGTATAATTTGCATATATTTAAGAAATATTGAATATTTTGTTTGTTCATTGTATTTCATATGCTTGTCCTCAGGAGGGGGCGTAGAACAATTTTTGTCTGGTTACGGAAGCGAGCCCAGCCAGCTGTTGGTTCTTTTGCCTCTCTGTAACTGTCAGGTCCATAGTGTAAGCCTTAATCTATAATATTTTAGAAGTTATTTTTGAACTGTTTGCTTTTTACATTGAAACTGTATATGATCCTGACTAATTGACTAACACAGACTTTAACACTTAAGTGTTAATGATAAACTGCAGACAGAGTTTAAATTCCACGAGAGTAGGTTTGCTCTGGCATTGCTTTCCTTTCCGGATTCTGGATTTGCAATTCTTATACTTTGCAGCACATCTCTCTCCAGTATTCACAAAGCAAGCAAGTTTCCTTCTGATCTCAGGCCAATAAACTGTGTGGTGCTTTGCTATAAAATACTTTTCTGCAGGGGAAAAAAACCAAAGTATTTTCAGACCGGTTAATGTGCTTTGAAACTTTTGTGTTCAGGTGAAAAACAGCTTCATACGTGATGGCTTCGTACACATGAAGCTCATACAACCAGCTGTGGAGCGTGTAGCTTCATGTGATGTATCCCTCTTCTCATCGCGGGGCTCGGATGGCCGGAGGATTTGATTTAACACGTTGCTGCTGCCGCAGGAGATGGTTTTGCTCCCACTTGAGAGGACCTTTCCTGTAGCACCAGAGAAGCAGAGTTAAAGCAAGAAACGTCTCCTTGGTGATGTGATTCACACCGCTGAGCTGGCAGGGTTGGTTTGTTTGGGTTTTTTGCGGATAGGATTCCTGGGGTGGTGGGCTGGCCAAGGGGCTCAGGCAGGCAGGGCTCAGAGGCTGCAGGAGCCAGCATTGGAAGTTTGGGAGGTGGAGGGTGTTCCTGGAGCATACAATCACAGCCAGCTGTTGAATCACTTGTTGACTACACCGCTGTCCCTTTGCTAATTTTTAGGATGGTATTATTTGAGCATGGGAGGTATTACTTATTTTATTCTGTTTCTTCAAACCCATTTTTTTTCCGAAAATAGGCCTTTTCAGTGGCCTAGGATACTTGGTGTATCTTCCTTGCAGTGTAGGTTTTTTTAGCAGGTGACCTGAGCTGTAATTTAACTTCCCTAAGTCACTGTCTGCTGCTCATATTTGCTCTTAGAACAGTTACTGTGAAAGGAGCCTGTTCTTGGGTTTTGAATAATATCCCTACTTTGCAAGCTTCCCCTGTGGATGAGAAAAAACTTTGGACTCTGGTCCTCTGTATTCATATGGATAAACCCATCTTTGTGGAACTAAGGTGTGACACTTGTTGTATAAGAGCTGTAAAATATATTTGTGTAATCCTGCTTAGCTCCATCATAATTATGTAACCTATTTTTGAAGTAACAGCTTAAAATTGTAGGAATCTTTCCAGCGGATGTGTGAAATGTACTGGTATGAATGATGTTTTTTCGAAGTGCTTAGGAATGGTTTATTTCAAAGGCGATACCTAATATATATAATCCTAGTTCTAAAATATTTGTTCTCTCTTTTTAAAGGGAACCATCTAAAATTACTGTTAAATATTAGGTTAGAATAAAATATTTGCTCAGTGTTCTCAGCTCGTTACCTCCACGTATAACGGGTTTCTCTGAAGACTCATATTCTTTGTAGATTTTAGGCTGAGCAACAAGGGAACTTTTAAAATTTGTATTCCAGAAAGCTTAGTCTGGCCTGGCAGTTAACAAAATAAATCTTACCTTGTAATCTTGCCCTTCTCAGGGTGGCTTTTATGTTTCCCCTTTCCCCCCTGAAGGTTGGCCAAGAAACTTGGGGTTGTGTTTGGCTTTTTTGCAGAATGGTTGTGTGTAGTATTGTTTGACTAGCAAAAATGGGACTTTGTTGAGTGCTTAATGCAGGAAGAAAAAATCTAGCACTCTGTTCAAAAGGCAAGATCTTCCTATCGTATCCGGGCAAGATGATCTGGATTGCCTTGGGCTTCGTGTAGATAAGTGTATCTAAAGCTGGGAACCCCTGTCTTCGGCACTTCTGACTCAGAGAAATTGTATCGCTGTGGTGGTGCATTGGGGGCAATACATTAAGAAATAGGTAGCAATTAGTGAAATGATACTCTAGCTAACTTAATGAATGAGATGTTTGATTCCTAAAGGTATCTTCTGTATTTTTTTTTTTATTCACAAGACAAGAGAACGCCATAATGATGTGTGTAACGAGTACACTTAGAGCAGGCAGTTCCTTCAGATCCACTTCTTAACTCCATAGCAGTGTGGTTCACTGACTTGGGGGTCTGGTATTGAACAATGACTCGTTTATTCTTACGTTCTGGCTCATCTCAAGTGTATTTTGAGAGCATTTGTTTGAAATGCTAGGGATGCAAATTATATTTTTGATTACTTGCCTCTTGTATCAGCTACTGAGTCAAGCCAAATCAAGTGTCTCACAGCAGAAATGCTTCAACGCATTAACGGGGCGGTAATACTGGGCACGTACAACTTTTCACAACCGGAAGAATTTTGCTTGAAACACTTTGCTTCTCACATAGTGCATGTCTCTATTTAATCAGAGTGTTTTGGGGCACGAGTTCTAGTGGGGTAGCTAATTTAGTTTAAATGGAAATATTGTATAGTAGTTGGCAGTCTTTGATCCCTGTCAGCTGGTCTGTGTCCAGCTTCTGAGATCTGAGATGCTTCTGGTTTGCATGCTTTCTGCCTGGACCACAGCTGATATTTTGTGTAAATGACTTCCAGTTTTGTCCTCAACGCGTTTCTAGTAAAAATAGGGGATTTAACAGAATAGAGAAAAATTAGTTTGTCACTTTTTTGCAACTGAAGCAAACTCAAGTGTTTTATTTTTGGAGCATGGAAGCAAAGTTGAAATCTATGCTATGATTTCTTTCATGAAGTGTCAGAATACTTTATTTTCGGTTTTATTGGCTCTGGTCTTAACAGCTGCTGTATTGTGACCCTTGGTTCGTTACATGAAAGTCAGGTTTCAACTGTGTAAGTGTATTCCAGTCACTTAGTTTTGCAAGGAAGTTAGTATAAAGGCAAGTACTTGTGTATTAATAAAATAGTATTTTTTGAAAACCAGCATTTTTAGTAATGATTTTAGGATGTTACATGGTACTTAAACTGGTTTTGAAATAGTTAGCTATAGTTCTGTTTTGCTGAGGGTCATCAGTGCCTCAAGAAAAATGCATATGTAGGATTTCTTTTGCATATTCCACTTACCGATTCCACTCTGTGTTGAAAATGTTGATGCTGAAAAAGCTTTGAGATGGCTTTTATTTTAGAGTCGTGTGATGATTTTATTAAAGACCAGAACATACGTAGATCTCTGGTGCAGCTGGAAATTGGAGAGTTTAAAACTTTATTTATTTTTTTCCCCCCTCTAGATTTTCAACTGAATTCTCACCTATCAACACTGGCAAATATTCACAAGATTTACCACACCCTCAATAGGCTGGTAATGACTTGCCATTTTCTTTCAGCAGAATAACTCAGGCTTCAGTCCAGAATGTTTTGTGATTGAAATCATTAAGTGATGACACTTAAAAACTGTGACTGCCTTTTGGTGTGAGAGGCTGTTGTTTTTGAAACAGTGAAGAGATAAGCAGTATTGAGCACTGTTCACATTTCACACTTAGATGTTGTCTCCTTAGAAGCAGCTTTCCTAATGTTGTGGTTTAACCCCGGCTAGCAAAATACCACGAAGCCGCTCTCACAAATCCCCCTCCCCTCCTCCAGTGGAGGGGACAAATCAGAGGAAAAAGAAATAAGGAAGCTCGTAAAATTGAGATAAGAACTATTTACTAATTAACTCTAAATTAATATATTCAAATACTACTAATAATAAATAATTAAAATAATAGAACATAAAACATATGATAGAGTATAATACAATATGATACAATTTCTCACCACCCACCGACCATTATATGTCAAATAATGGTCATCATCATCGTTATCCAATTTCTTACGGTTGTTGTGGAAAACACTGAATGAGCAAGCTGTCCTCATACAACCATGCGAAGAGGGAAGCAACTTTTTTGAAGATTGTCCCTGCTTGTTTGCTGTGCATTTCTGTTTGTTTTATTGGGATCACAGCTGGAAATGCCGATAGGGCTTCTCTTAGTGCACTGCAAATTGAGTGGAAAAGACACTGCCTAAAAAAGGGGGTAACTCGTTTCCAAGATTTCAGTTGGTTTTTAGTCAGTTTCCTTTGGAACACGTGATGTGTGTTTTTCCTCAGTCAAAGCCATTTCTGTGGTAAATGGTAAATTCAATCTTTCTAATGCTGCGTTTATTAATGGAATTGTTTAATACAACAGTGCAAAATTCCCCATCCAATGGATAATTATTTGCACTCTTGAAACATAATTTGATACGTTTTTCATTTAAAAAAATACCAGAATATTTTTCAAATTACTTAAGTACTATCCTTGAACATTTTAGATAAATATGCAAGGGTAACTTCTTAGATAAATACGAAGTTAAAACACAGAGGCTCTGCAGTCTTAGCTAGATGCTCCTGAAGTAATTAAGATGAATGTTAGTATCAAATAAAGGTTAAAAGCATTACTGAACAGTGAAGATCACCGTCTTGTTTAACTGTATCATTCCTACTCTCTTGCAGAATCTGACAGAGGACGTTGGCCAAGACGATCACCAGACAGGTATTTCATAGGGGTGTGGTAGAATTAGATTGAAACAGTTTAAACACACTTCATCAAAAAAGTCTCTCTAACATCATGGAAAATTGTATTTTAGAAAGCTAAAGGAGTTTTAGAGAAGAAGTGCCAGGGTTTTTTAAAGTTTTATTCAAAATAGATGTTCGTGCTTTCAGTTTGCCCAGGTTTGAAGGATTGGTACAGGTTTCAGTGGTATCTGTGCTTTACTGTTTCTTAGTGTAAGTACTTTGGAAGACTTCATGAAAAATTTCTCTCACTCCTAGGACTCAACCCATTAGACTAGCAGAATATTCGTGTTCTTACAGGGTTTTGACTCTTGAAAGAGCATTAGTGAGAAGAGAGCAGAAGCAAGGCCTCTGTGGCTACTCTGACGCCTGTGACCGAGTTTAAATGCTGTGCTCCAAACAACCCAGCTTTTTTTCCTGAGTGGTTTTGATGCAGGTTGTTCCTGTTTCTGGTGCAGGTTTTCAGTCGGTGTCTAAGGGCTATTTATTAGTCCAAATCTGTTTTCTCTTCATTAAAATGCCATCATTTTTTCGGGGCCTACGTCTGAGGTGCCTGGTACTATAGCTTGCTGTCATTCTTGATTCGTCAGCATTTGTGCTTCGTGACTTGGTCTCTTGCAACATGTTATCTCCCTTTGCACTTCTTACTTTGGCATCTTCCTTGATTTCTTTTTCTTCCTTCCCTTCTGTGTTTCAGGCATGATACCTAAGGAGGAAGGAAAATAACTTACTGGCTTCAAGCCCTGATCACTCAGCAGAACTGTTTTTTAAAACTGACCATATCTGGCCTGCCATCTGTCTCAAAGTTTTGTTCTCTCTCTTGAGTGCTGGCTGTGTGTGCTGATGTTACCTTGAGCGCTTAAAGTGGAGAGAGCTATCATCTCCTCCTGGAGATTTCTGGGATGCACTTACAGTCCTAGCACACGCTTGATGTAGAGCAATGAGATGCGTAGGATGGCATTGTTTGGGATTGAACAGAGCTCGCTTAGGGCTTATGTACCCTCCTCCATACTGGGACAGGTGACTCTGTTTCAGAGCTGGACTGTCTTACCTTAGCCACAGAAGACTTCTATCAGATGTTTTCCTTCAGCGTGGTTAGCGATTTGATACTTGAAATTCGTAGATCATGTAAATGAAAACCTCTGCAAAAGAGCTTGAGGCAGGTAGTTCAGGACAGTCACAGGCTTTGTTGTTCGTATGTTAGGACTGCTGTCCTCTCCCATCTCCCGATGGAGACTTGGAATTTTCCCCCTTGTGATCCAGGTGCTCAAACTAAACAGAGATACATACTTATTTCATGTATGAAAATACATTCCATAATCTTTGTTTCCTTTTGGTCACAAAAAGCTGCTGGGAAGCATTGGGGTAGTTCCATTCTGTCACTAATCGATCAGTAAGAGTAGATGTGCTGAAGGTGTTTGGAATTTGTCTGTCTCTTGCCTAGCACTTCAGTCATAAAGGTCAGTATAAGACATCGGCCCCAGAGCTGTCATTATCTCTGTGGGAAGGTGTTGGAGCATGTCACTGGTTTTGATGAACGGCTTTATGCTGACACTCATGGTTATCCTATTACCTGTATTGTGGTGTTTGAATTAAGCTGTTTCAAAAGCGTAAGCATGCCCATTGAGTGAGTTTGGGCACAAAATCCCAGTGAAGAGTGTAGTTTTTTTACGGTAGTTGTAAAAGAACCTTTCAAACCAGGAAGAAGTATAAAATGAGAATCAATTGATACTGGCACGCTCCTCATCTTCAGATTTCATTCTAGTATTTGTTATGCTTCTGCCCTTTTTTAAGTTTCCTTGTAGAACAAGATGAAGCCCCAGTGCTTGCATGGCTTCCAGGTGAATTCACTGGAAATGTGTGCTTGGTTTTCCTCATAAGAGAACAAATAACCGATGCCAGGAGCTATTTTGGCCTTTGTGAATGTCGTACAGGGAAATCTCTTGTGTCCATTTTGTACAGGACTTGACATTTCTGAAACATCTTACTGGAGAGCCTCATGTAAATCTGAAAAGAATTATTCTTGCAAATTGTTTTATTTTGGTGTGCCTAAACTTTTGGAACTACTTTCCAGTATTACTGACTGCACAGTAGGATGTGTCAAGGCCTTCAGTTTTGTTATGGGATTTACAGAACCGCACAGATGCTGTGAATTTGAGATTCTGTGTCCAGAACTCATTTGAAAGTCATGTTAATAACACTGTCACAGAAGATTCTTTGAGTGTTGCCAAACCCATCTAAAGATGATTTTTCAATTTTGAGATTTCTGTCTTTTTATTTATTTACTTATTTATACGCTGGGCCTTCGTGAGCAAGCCTTATCCTTAAAGATTACTTTTTATTTTCTGACATAACTATCCTTGTTAATGTTATTACACTGTGTGCCCTGCTCTTGGGATGACTTAATAAATGCATATCAAAATTCGGTTGAGCTAAAAAGCCATTTAAAAAAAAAAAAGTTTCCATTTTAGGTTAGCATTTACAATGAGCTTTTAATGGATATTAACATTTGTTTCGATGCAGTTGTTTCTGAGCTACAATAAATGTACTGGACATCTAAAATACTTTAAGGAAATTATATTTCTTCTAAGTATTAGCCAGATTTCTTTTCTGGAACCAGGTCTTAAAAACAGATCTAAGAGCTACAGGGTGGCAGTTTCAAAATTCCTTCAGTGATTTGGGAGCTAAGATGGACCTCGCATCGAAATTCTGGTCACCTGTAATGATTACAGTCTCATAAAGTGTGTTAGCATTTCGTGTGCATATATATCTGAAAAGTAAGGTAGGCTGTAAATGTCGAGGACCTTTGCCTTTTCAGCTGTTTGTCAGGGTCAGAAAAGCAGACTTTCAGATTCTGTGAACAATTTCTCTAGTATGCATATGCATTAAGTTGGAAAATTCTCTCAAATTTTGAAAGAATAGTTGGTTTTTGTCATAGCTACAAATCTAGCAACTTATTAATAGCTTAAAGTCATGATTTGGTTATTAAATTGTGACTTGTTTACCCATCCAGACTAAAATGTCTTTAAATGTAAAAGTACACTTCCTGTTGTCACATGGCTTATTTAAAAGAATGAGGTAATGTCTTCAACAAAAACAAGGCTTCGTTGCTGTTCTTGAAGCTTTTAAGTGGGAAAAAAATTACTTTTGCCTCTACTTCTTGTTGTTTTAGAGAAGAAAACCCTCTTGAGTCCAAAGCAATTCTGTAGAGTGGAATTCAAGATAGAGAAGATGATTTTTCCTTTTACAAGAAGATTGCAAGTTGTTTGACGTTTTGATGAGTCTCTTAGTTTTCTCATCTTGTATCTGAAAAATGCTGATTGTTAACTGTGCTTGTGGTGGTCTTGTTGCATCATTAAGCAAGTAGCTGTATCTTTCCAATTGCTTCAGCAGTTTCTAATTATTTGTCCTTTGAAACATCCCTCGACTTAGGCGTCAGAAGAGCAGGATTATTCACAGGCATTATCTCGAGAAAAGGTGAAAATTACATGTCTGTAAATCACTTCTGTAGGGACACAGCTTGTAGAATTCTTATGTATTGATCTCTGTTTTTTCCTTTTTGTTTGTTCTGGTTTTGTTGCTATTCTAGGAGTGTCCCTCCCTTGTGGTGATTATCTTGCATATTGTTTTAAATTTAATAGGGTGTTTTTTAGCTCTTGGGTTGATATTTCCCTTTGGTAGCTTTGTCTCCTGCAAATTTGGAAGTACTGAATAGAACGTTTGGCAAACAACATCTATACTCGGCAGGCTTTTGGCTGATGGTGGCCTATTCAGCAGCTATTTGGAGGTTCTACCTTGCAAATGCTAGCTTCAAGTGTCAAAAAAACAGTGAGAACTAGGAGGGTTCTGCCAATCTTGAGTTGAGACCCAGGAGTAAGAAACTTTGAAGATAATCACATCAGAGAAGCTGCGCTTGGTAAGTAAAGTTCCTGTTAAACTTTGCATGAAGTCAGAGGGAGCTGCATGTTCGTTTGCAGATGATCAGACCTTTGAGAAGTGAAATTAGTTGGGAAAGGCTAGACCTAGAAATTATATTTAGAATTAGAAAGTTCTGGGTAAGAAAGGGTAATATTGATGCTACTCAGTGAGCTCTACTGTAAAATAAGAAATTGCAAGAATTGAAACAAAAAAAAAAAGGCACAAACTCTGAAAGTTAAACCAGCAGACTATTTCTAGCTTTTATTTCCATTTAAAGCTAAAAACTATCAGAGTTTGTTACAGGGAAATTATAACCGCCCTTCAAATTCAATATACTGATTCTAGTAACAAAAGAAAATGCCTCGCAAGCAGTGTTCTTGTACTGTGTCTTTCAGTAGTTTAGCGAGCATTCAACAGTGAAAATGTAGTGAAGCCGTGGTCCAAACCTCAGTGATTAAGATGCTAAATCTCTAAAAGTGTCTGTGTCTCTGAAAGTCTGTGTGTGTGTTTGTGCGTGGGGGGTGTGTGTGTGTACATGTCCATTTAATAGCCACTTACCTATTTCTGAGTGCTTTCCTTCCCTCTTCTGTCGGTTTGAGAGCTGCAACTAGATACATTCAAACCAAGAAAGGGTGCAAGTTTTTTGTACGTGTCATTGGAGAAATTGGGTTATGGTGGATTCTGTTACCAGTTTAAGCCTTTAAAAAAGATCAGCAATCTTCCTAAAAATGTCATGTCATTTAATGAGGAAAAGACTTTAAGAGGACATTCTTGGGTTAAATTCTTTGGTTTGTGTGGGGTTGCAGACCTGACAAAATGATTTTTCTGTTCTCCGTTTTATTTTTATTTTTACTTTCATACATTTTTATCTGTTATTTTCATCTTTTGCTGTGCTTCTCTTTTCACAGAGGCCTTGCATATTTCTTTTCCCAGTCAAATAACCAGGAAAGTGGACAAACCCTGGGATGGGGGCTTGGTAGATTTCTTGCATTTTACTAGCATCCAATGCCTGTGGCCATCATAATATTTTCTTTTTTTTAATGGAAAGGCATTTATTGCTCTCAAAGGAATGAGATAGCTACAGGTTGTACTGAAGTACATACATACGTATTTTTGGAGACAAGGTGTTCGTTAGCACGTATTTTCATTTATCAAGTTTAGTGTGTGTCTCAGTCTGGCTGTCTCTAGCCATCTGTTAAATGCTGCTGTCATCTTAAGTGTTTTTAGTGTGTGTAGGTTTTCAAAAAATATTTACTGCAGTGTCTTAAGAAACTGGATCAAAAAGCCATAAAGCATCACACTTTCAATAACTCAGGAGAATACAGTTTTGCAGTATCATTAATTTGCAGGCATAGTCAGGTGGAACAAAGGACACTCTGCAGGTTAGGTTCCTTAGTTTCTTTAGTCTGGGCGTACTGTGAGTTTTTGGTCTCCAACTTACCTGTTTCAAATATATCTGATAGTGGTGAGAGGAAGATAAATATTACTATTAACTTCCTTTTGAAAAATATTCTTGACAGTGCTTCTAGAAGTAGCCTCTTCTGACACAGCCATAATGATTTTTTCATGTGATAGTAGTTTGAGTGTAATGCTTGAAGTTTTTGATAAGTAGTTAAATTATGATTTGAATTTACAGTACTCTTAAAACTTTCTTTCCTAAAGATGGTGTGGGTATGGCCATACTTTGCTGGGAGGATGCTGGGGCGGGGGTGCTTCAGGGTAAAAAAAAAAAATTAAAAAGGAAAAGGAATATTTAGGAAGAATTTTTGAATTGGAAAGAGTACTGATTGAATTAGAGAGATTAATCTCTCCTCTTAATAGAAATGAATATAAAGGTAAGACCAAAGAAGGCACACTAAGTGCAAAAGCTTTATTAGTTGAAACCAGGTTAGTTCATCTTGATGTAAAAACTTGTTTGAACATCTTGCCTAATACTAGAAAAATCCATACTTTCATATGCATAATAGTTTCAGTGCATGTTTATAAAACAAAGTACATGTAGCAAAGCCTGTGAGGCTGTAAGGTTCCTTACATGTGTTTCTCCTATAACAGGAGAGAGACTTTCAAAGATACGAAGAATAGGTAAGCAAAAGTTGCCGTTAGTGTTTGTTGGGAATTGGGCCTCTGATTTCAGTCTGCTCCCTTGGTGTCAAAAAGGAGTCAAAGTTTTATTGCTTGCTTCTCTGCTGGGATTTAAAATTAAAGATTTTGTGGGCATCTTAATAAAGCATAGCTAAACTTGGATGCTGTTGAAGCTAAGAGAAGGTAGCTTAGGCATGCTGGAGTTCTTCATATTTTCTTGCAAGTTTCTTTGGCATCGCTTTGTGTCTGGATTTTTATACCTCACCTCTCTTCCTTTCCTTTCCTTTTAAAATTCTTTGCGTAACACTTTAGAGCTTTGATAGCTCATTGAGCTGCTCTTACACACACACCTTTCTCAGGTGTCCATGTGGTCTTCATGAAAGTAGAACAACATTTTGCCTGGAGTGTTAGCTTACTGTTTTCATGAGACAGCAAAGGCAATTTAAGGACTTGCTGTGGTCAGGAGGGCTGGGCCTGTGCTCTTTCTTGTGCTAATGTACAGAAAGTTGTTACTCTTTTGCTTGGGTTAATTATCCACAGGTTTGGTGAGCTGGATTGGCACACTGAAGAGTCACCAGAGACACAGGAGTAGGTAGCTGAGAGAAGAGGAGGGAAAGATTGCCACTCGATTGGCATCGGTGTCTTGAATTGGCTGTTTCCTGCTTGGGGACCTTTGGGAACTATCCACTCCAAATGATAGAGGCAGACACATTTTTTCCTAGTGGTTGTTGAATCTCTCTTCCCCTCCCCCTGAAAAAAGGAAGAAAACAAACAATCCCAAACCAAAGAACAAACAAAACCTTTCCTACCCCTTGCTCTCTGTATCACAACCTTGGGCCTACAAATAAAAAGGTTCTGTTTTCCAGAGGTAGGTGTTCAGTTTTTGAGTCAGTTCTGATTTGAATAAATGACTAGAAGTGAGGATGCCTTTTTGAGGACTCCAGTACTTCTTCAGGATAGTGTGAGTTCTTGCCTTTGTTAGACTGAAGTAGCACTAGCACTGCTGTACGTTTTGGTGTGGTACTTTTGACCTGAACTGAAATCTGGTCATAGAACACCATGTAAAAGTGAGATGGATTTTGCTGTTGAGAGGAGACTGCTTCTTTTGTAATTTTTAAATCCACTAACCTCCTCCCTTCCCTTCCCTTTGTAATATGCCTATTAGTGGACACAGTTGAACTGGTCTGCAACAGTTTCATTTCTTGTACTGGTGTTTTTAATTCCCTCTGTAGGAAGTCTCCGGTCTTGCAGTTCATCAGACTGCTTTAGTAAAGTGATGCCTCCAAGGAAAAAGAGGAGACCTGCAGCAGGAGATGATTTATCTGCTAAGAAAAGTAGACATGATGGGTATGTCATCTTACCATGAGCTAAGACCGATGGAATATCTAAAGTTGAATAGCTGATATGATCATGTTTTTAAATATTAATGGAAATGGTGTTCAAATTTGCTTGGTTTCTCAATGTGGAACCATAGCCTGTGGTTGAACTGTGGGATATTGATAAGGTTCAGTTTGCTTCTCAGTTTTTTCTAGTTGTACAAGAAGCTTGTAGGGAACTTTTTGCTCTAGTTTGACAGCTGTCAGACACACTTGTTTGTTCAAAAACAGCTTCTGCAGTATACAGTAGAATACAGTATTGTCTTCCTGTATACCTGCAGAGCTGGATTGGACATTCTCAACCTATAGCCTGTCAGAAAAGTGAATCTAGTTGCAGCCCACTCAGCTCTTGCTTGACGTCCTGCTGGTCTCCCCCCGTCATGTTGTGGGTTGGTGCTGATCGTGGAAGGGAAAGGTGAAGATTGCCCAGGCAAAGTGATCGCCAGTGGTGGAGTGGCGATTTGAGGCGGTGCTGCTCAGCTTCCCTCTGGGCAACAGAAGCACAAATGGGTTGTAACTGTGCACAAGCAGTATATTCTTCTGGCACAGGCGTTGCACAGCTGAGACTTCCCAAGTGTTGGATTTTCAGTGTGTGTATGTTCAGTTAGCCTCAGTCACTGAGACACTGTCGAATGCGCACCTCGTGTGTGAGACAGTTGCTGTTGATGTGCACTAAATTCAGAAATTGTGGGAGCACAGGACTGTGCACTCCTGCATGATAGGTGCAGGCCTGTCCTGACGTTGAAAAGTGACGTATACAGCCAGAAAATTTGGCTGCCACTGTGTCAGTCAGTAGAATGTGAGCTCTGTTACGTTCATGTATTACCGGTGACTCAGAAATGCTTCCCTACAAGTATCTTCAGGAAGGTAAAAAGAACCATTTTTTTCCTAACTGTCAGCCTGAAATCAGACTGGGTGCTTTCCTATTTATTCTCTAGCATGAGTAAGAAAGATGCTGGTAGACAAATTAAGCCTCTTGTTATGCCTCTATAACTCCATTGTGTCTAATAGGGTTGCACAACTGTAGCTGCACTGGAATTTATTAAATGATCTGTTGATGCAGAAGAAAGATTTCAACTCTCCCTTTCATTGCTTGGCATACGTAACACCAGCAAGAACAAAAAAGCAGTACATGTTCTTAATATTCTTTGCTTTTCAGAAACAATAAAATACAAAAGCTAAATAGTTGATAGAGGACGTTACAGCGTATTTAAAATACACATCCGATGTGGAAGTGAAACGAGGATCTGTTTCTAGAGTCTAAGTAGAGAGGTTCACAAAATGTAACTCTACTTCCCTTTGCCAAGACACTGATGGTAAAACAGCCCCAGTCTCCTAGAAAGTAAGGTTGTCTGTAAGTGAGAGATGCTGATTTGTGTAATTTAAATAAGAAAATGATGATAAACTTATTTCATACTCTATCGGTAGCATGTATATAATAATTTTTAAGAGCTTTTGAAAGCATAATTTAAAGAAATTTTTTTCATATCTGCCTTTCAGTTTATAACTAATGGATCTGGTCTTCATTCTACTGCCATCTAAGGCTCTATTACAAGGAAGGCCTCAGCCTGCTTTTAGAAGTGGAGGTGAAACCAGATCTGCCAGTTATGGGCCACAGGGGAATATCCTTCTCTGATGTGGTTCCAATAAAGTGTTTTGGGCTTTCTGTGTTCCTGTATATAAGTTTCCTTTGTTTTAGTCTTCAAGAAAACAGATTTTACAGCATGGCTGGCAATATGGAATCATTTGCTGAACATTCAGCTCAGTCTTGGAGTTCTGTTTTCTTTCAAGGAAGGATTTCTTCAGATTTGGCTTATGCCTCTGTAACTTGTGAACAAGTTAGGCAAAGAGTAAGCTGTCTCCTACTTCCATGCTTTTTTGTCAGACGAAGCTCATGCCTGTCATGTTTGGTCTTTGGAGGTCAGACATCTCGGTTTACCAAGCAGAAATCAGCCTGAAATCGGGAACCTCTACAACAGTGTGCTGTAACAGACCTAGTTATTTGCAAAGCCATTTCCTCTTACATTGTATGCAGAGAATGCTGTATACAATAAAACCAGTATGGCTAGTGCAATGCCAGTTTATGGAATAAGGCTCTTCTAGGCCCAGTTCTTTACCATTGCTTCTGGTTTAGAGACAGACTTCCTAGAAGCTTCATGCTAGTAACTCAGGATAAACCTGCAAGGGACCTTAGCCTGTGTGGATTCTGTATTCAGCAGAAAAGGTAGTCATTATTTGCTCTTGAATGTCTGCTTTCAATGAAAAAATACAGCGAGTGCTCTTCAGAAGACGCTGTATTTCCTAACAGATGATTTGTCACCTCAAATGCTTAAGGAGTGATGTAAGTGATGTATGTTTCTCAGTTACAGTGGCAAACGTAAAGGGGGAACGTTAACAAATAAATTCAGTAACTGAGAGTCTCCTGTTTGCTTTCAGTGGGAAAATGTTAGATAGTAAGTAGTCTGAAGACTATCTAAAGGGTGTCATCCTTAGCGGTCTTACCACAGCTGAGACCAAATTTCGATGATTCCTCCTGGCTTGTCCATACCAAGGATGTTTGGTTTGGGTTTTGGTGGGGTTTTTTTGGTTTTTTTTTAATCCTTAAGTGGATGGTTTTGTTGGTGATATTTTCAGTGTTTGCTACTTGTGGTCTGTACCTATAATCTTTTCAACTATGATCATAGTATTTTTTAGGTATATATTCTTTCCAGAAAGTTTATTTCGGCAGGGCTTTGTGCTGAAAGAGGCAGAGATTTCCAAAGGCTCTTAAATTTGAACTTAAACACATCTGATACCAGGGAGCTTTGTAATAGCCTTCACGCTCAGTTCCAGGCTGTTAGGGATACAGCCTCATCTGGGAAAGGTTAGTGGCATAGTGGCACTGGCTATGGAGGAAAACCATTTATAGGAACAAATCTACTTAATAATGAAGTTGTTTGGAAATGCTGATCTCATGCATAGACTGATTATGGAAAACAAAAATTCCAAGCATGTTCTTTAGCATCCCACCCTTTTATATAATGAGCTTGAATTCTGTTAATTAGTGTTCACAACTTCACCTTGAACCATGAATGTGGTGTTTCAGTGAGAGGGAACTTTTATACCAGATGATGTATAATGAAAAGAACTGTGTATTAATTTCTGGATCACAGTAAGGTTTATCCTGTCTTAAAGAATAGCTGTTGGAAGTAAACAGTTTAGCACACACTCACCAGAACATAATGACTCAACGACTTAGTCTGTATTTTCCTCTCAGTATCACAGTCATTGTACTTACAACTCCCACGGTATTGGGTATTCTCAGAGTTAAAAATACAACTTCTGTACATTGCTTTTCTATCACTGTGTTAATGGTCTTGGGTAAGGTAAAGCAAGTTCCATGTAAAGATACTTGTTAGGTAAGAATATGGTCCTCACTGTGTAATTATCTAATGCCATGTATCTGTTAACACAATCTCTAGCCGAATATTGGCTTTTTCCTTAGGGAAAAATGAGGTGTATAATGTAATGTCTTCTTTCTGATAGTCTCATTTAAAGGATAATTCTACTCCTTGTTCCAGAATCATGCTGAGGGCAAAAATCCTACAGTAATACATATTTGGACCTTAGAAAGATGAAAACTAAGGATATTAATCTGCTTCCCTTAGAGTTGTTTTCAAGTAATTAGATCTAGAAAGTAATTTACCCTGGATGTGTGTATTGACCACGTAAGGGCCTATTGACACAAAAAAGAGGTTTTCTTTACTGAGTAATAAGCTTCACACGCTGTAGTGGAAAAACGTAAGTTTTGAAAACACAGTCAACACACTGTTACTAACATGGGAAAGTAAACCGGGAGCACGCTAACCTTGGAAGTTTTCAAACCTTTAGTGTCGCGAGTTTCTTGTTCTGCTGTCAGTAATTTACTAACTGGTTTGGTCCTGCCCTGTGCAGAGAGCCCGTGTTACCAACTGCCATAGGTGTGTAGACCCTAGCCCTTGAATAAGAGATTTTCAAGTACGCACAGGTAAAGTTTTGGCTGGTTATACACCTTTTTGCTTAATAGTTCTGAAGGAACTTAACTGGATGTGTGACTATCAGCATGTATGCTGTTACACATAGTGCCCCTTAAGTCAGCCTGAGGAAGTTCAAAACATTAATTTGAAAGTTTAAACATGATTGTCAAGCCTTTAAATAGGGAGAGATAAGACATATTAATTCGTAAAACTTACCAGTCAAGTAAATTTGTCCTGAGGGTTGCTTTAGATAGTCTTTGTCATGCCTTGCCAATCATAAAGCTTCTCTCTTCCCCTGCCACCCCCACTTGTTTCTCCTACAGCCTTTATGAAACTATTGCTAAAATCATAGTTGTGAATTAATAGGTAAGGCTTTATAAAATTCTCAGCCAAAATTTTAAATTAATTGATTAGAATTAATGGGAGTAGTAGGAGACATCATCTCCAATCAAAATTTTGCGTCTTTCAAAATACAGATATCCTAAAACCAATTAGATACTCAGCTTGAAGCTCTAACAAAATGAAGTAAAGGTTTTGAATAAGTTCTGGTTGCATAGAAACAAAGCTACTGTTGCTAAACTTCTTGTTTTCATTCAGTAAACACTGACCATCTGAAATGGGAGGGCTGTAAATCTTCATGAGGGGTTAACTTTTGACTTACCATAACAGACTGCACTTTTTTCTTTTCTCTTTTTTTTCTTTAAACGAGCTGAGACCAGCTTGCACAACCAAGAGAATATTCTGTGTGACCTACACCCATGCCTTCACTGATCTCTGTTTGAATAGTACAGCCCAGAGTTGCTGCTGTGGTAGGTGGAGCTCTCACAAATCCCAGTGCAGTGGAAGCATGCTCGGAGCAGGAGTAGATACCAACCTTTGAAGATTGCAGGAGATGGAAGGGAATTACCGTGACCTTGATCTTTTTGCTGGCAGCAACCGTGTGCTCCTATGATGACATGTCTAGTCCTCCCGTAATAGCTGGCTAGAATTTTTGTGCTTTTGCTTTTCCACCAAATCAGTTATGGATGGAGGAAAATAATCTGGAAAAGATATGGATGATTGTATATTTAAAGAAACATGAAAGGTCCAGACACTCAGTTTATTAGATCAGTTTATTTATATTGACCTATAGAACTTCCAGTTACAAACTACCTTGTCTCATCTTTACTGCAGGGATTCCCTAGCTCATAAGACTGTTTCAAAGATAATTTTGAAGATGGGTGTTCTGATTATCATCCATCATTAGGTCATGATGGAGATGCAAGCCTTTCTGGGAAAATAACTTCATTTAAATGTGGTTTAAGTAGTTGATCTCATTTTTATAAAAATCAGGCAGGTTAATCTCATGTTGCTTTTTTTCTGCCCTGTCCCACTTCTTTCCTCTCTCTAGCTGGTAAAATGGCTGTTAATAATAAAAAAGAAAAAGCTGAACGCTCCTTAAGGAGATATTGGTTATAATATAGATAAATGTGTTTTGAAGCTTGCTGTCACTGTCCTGACATTGACAGTGTCATGCTAAACTAATAAAAACTAATATTTTTCAAGCAAAGATTTTGAGTCATTGTACCTGTGTGTGTGTTTGATCTGAGAGACAAATATATACTCTTTGCCCATAGGTGATTTCCCACCCCCACCTTTACTCTTCCTGATGGGCAGCATATCAGGGTTTGGAAATGAAAGGGTAATTCTCGATGCAGAGGCTGAGTATGCTGTTGTCCCATACTGATAGGTATAGCAGACGCTCTGGCAAAGAGTTCTGCACGCACCTTTTTAGCTGTGATGATGGAGAAAACGCCCTTTAGCGGCCTCATTCCAGTGTTGTCGTCCTCTGACAGTGGTACCAGAAGTACCAGGTACACTCCTTGGCCCTTCCTTTATGGAAGGTGTCTGTGGGGTTTTTAGTACTTACTTTTTACTCTTTCTTTTCTTCCCCCGGACTCTGCGTGCTTTCTCTTCTGGAACTCTGGAACTCTGCCGGTTCCTCTTACGGGCCATCAGTGCATAAGCAAACGACCAACCTGTAGCGTGGTCAGCGTAAAGGTTGTGCATGTGTGAAGGCACCGGTGCTGGTCGTCTGGAGGGAGCTGTGAGCTGCTGGGGACTTGCGGTTTGATACTGGGATCTGTGCAGTAGGTGTTTGGTGCTCCCCAAGTATTCAGATCTCTACCCCCTGCGCTCTGGCTGTTTGTGTCTGCACAGCAAGAGACTGTCCTTAGCACAAAGACGCGGCGCATCATCTTGCGGTATGCACAGGGAAATTCCAAAGATGCGAGAAGTATTCTGAGGTACCAGATGGATGCCAGACATCCCTGGCAGTTTGTGTTTTTCTCATCCGCACGTGCGCTTCTTGGGACAGTCAAGTCTGTGTTACTGATAGTTCAGAGGACAGAGTCTTTGGAGTCACCTTTACCCTGTGCTGCCAGGTTGGGCTTGCTGCGGTAATCGAACCGAGTTGTCCCAGGTTGTAATCTCAGATACTTGTCTACCTACTTGCTTGTATCTCCCCGCTCATCTCTCTTCGCCGAGCACTGCAGCGTTCAGGAGTCTCTTGCTAATAGAACTAGCTGGTTTGGCTAGGGGGAGAAGCTAATTTGGTGTTTGGAGTAAGCAAGGAGACAACAGGCTTCATCTTTATACATGAGGTCACTAACAGCGGGTCTGCATCGGTGTTACTTGTTTCTGTCATATTCCTTTTGAAGTGATCCTGGTCTTGCAGCGTGTGTGATCTGCTCTTCGCTCCTTTAGGTTGAGAGAGAGGCATCTGGGACTCACGCAGCCGTCTCTGTTGCACGCTTCCGTACTTCTGGCTGTGCGCAGTCTGTTTTCATGAGAGATACGGTACGGTGTCACCTGCACTTTCAATGTCTGGCTCATGGGCTTGTAGCAGAGACTGGGATAGCTCAAGATTATATCCTTTCTGATTTTATCTTCTGAATTTGTGAAGTAATTTCTCTTACCAGCACAGGTTGGAAGATCTGTAATCAGTTCTGCTTTCTCAGAAATCAAACTCCTGTGGTCAGATACTGAGCTTTTTGAACAGTAAGTTTGAGGCCCGAGCGTTTTGCTTGGAGTTACTCAGCCATACGTTCAGTTCCTAAATAATGACCTTAGTCTTAAACACAACAAATGGCTTTCAGTCCTGTATCAGTCCTATGAAAACTTGCCTTGTGTAGATAGAGTGAATGTATAAAAAGGATTGGCTTTTTCTGTTCTCGTTCACCATTCCTCTCACACGTGCTGCTGTCATTGGTGTCTTGGTTCAGGCTATGGTATCTAACTCTGCCGCCTGTAGATGAAAGAATCCTTTTTCTGAAATACCTGGACAACATAGAGCTCTGTCAATAAATTTGTTTCTTGAAGGCTCTTTCCCAGATTCACTGTTCCCATACTGACAGCTGATGCGTTGCTGAGTTACGTTAACGGGGCGAGGCACTTGGTTGTCATCCCTTCTTAAGGAGAAACGTTGAGTCCTGTGATGAATGTCTTGTCTTTGGGAACCACATTAGCTTTGCATGTCCGAGGTCCCAGCAGTGCTCTTACAGACTTCTTGAATAAATAGAATAGAATTAAAGATGTTGACTAGCTCTTGCCGCAGTTGACTTTCAACTTGGTATTCCAGTTGGTGTTTGTCACGTTTGTTTGCTACAAAAAAGGGGATACTGAATAATTAGACTTCTGCCAAAGTGGCAGAATGCCTCTTTTTTCTTTGTTTCAAGACTTTTTTTTTGATTCCTCTGAATTCAGAATAGCCTAAAAACATTGGATAGGTCTTTCGTAATCACAGTTTGTTCTGCAAGTAGGAGAACGTTAAGTTATCAGACCTGGTTTAAATAAAACAAAACCAACTTGTTCCTTCTTAGACCTTCCTGGCTTACACCTTCTGCCTTAGCTGTTTACTTACTGGGCAGTGCTGTCAGCCTGCTCTTTGCAGTAATGCTTATACAAAGTAGGCAATTCAAATACAAAAAAAGTGTTTTCAAAATGAAAACGATTAAAAAATCCTATCCATGGTGGGCGTATGAATATATGTGCTTCTGATATATGTACGGGTGGCATTTTTCCTCAGTGGTTCAGCTGGTTGCAGGTCAGTATGTTTCAGTAGAGAGTTAAGAAATTTCAAGATGGAAACTCAAATTAAGAGCCCTATTTGTATTTGTCTTCCAATTAGCAATTTATCATTTTGCTCTGACTAGTATTACTTTTCTAACGGTGAGTTATTTTAGAGGAACTCTGACAATAAAGACGAAGTAATTCTTTGAATTACTGTCAGACTGATCTGTGTGCCATTAACCTCTAGCTGCGGATGCTCATAGCCGAGCTAGGTGGTGGATAGTGGCATCAGTGTACTCTAAGCTCATAAGTCTAGACAACTTTTACATGCCTTTCTAGAAGGAGAAAATGTTGACGAAATCAATACCAATTAATTTCATCAGGTTGTTTCAGAGTTCTCCTTGAACCCGTTAGCTGCTTTGTGGTCCTCCTCAGCAGGCTTTGACACGAAGAGGAAGGGCTGCACGCTTGGAACGCTCCCAGAGCCCTTTTGGCTACCTCCTCTAGCCTAAGCCATTTGTTGCTTGGCTCTTTTCAGCTGTTATGAGCCCAGGTTGCTGCAGGGTGGTGGAAACGGATCAGAGGGTGCATATGCTGCAGTGAACAACCACTTAGAGGAAAGGCTCAGCAGTCCAGAGTTGCTGTGGAGTGACTCAACAACTGCTGCTATGCTTTAGGTGTGTCAGATACAAAATCTGCGAGGCTGGTACTTCAGTGTTGTTTCCTGATCGTAGTTAAAATTCCTTACGCTTCTTGTCAAAGGAGAGCATAGCCTTGCTGGTCGTCTTGGGTGGAAGGATCACTTTTCAGATGAGACTTTACCTTATGATGAATGAGATTCCTTGAGTTCCTGTCAGTGAGCACCTCTAACCCATTCTCTGTGGTGCTTTTGTGTTACCAGTTTACTGGTTTTAGAATAATATAAGTGTGCGTTGTGTCTATTTTCATCTTTCTGCCTTTTATAGTATTTTTTGAGGAGGCAAAAAGAGTGTGTGCAGTTGTCCTTAATTAATAATTCAGAGTGCGCAAGGCCTGTGTGCGCCCACAGGTAGGATCTGTCTTGGCTGTGACGTGGATTAATCTGGGTTTAGAGCCCCAGCCAAGCTGCGGCCCATCAGTTGATTGTGGAAACTCCTGGTGTACCCAAGTCTGTCTTGAGCTTACACCAAGCAGTTTGGGGTTGAATTTGAGCTAGTCTCTATTTGTTGTAAGGAAGGTTCATGTACGTGGATAACGACCGTGAATCAGTTGGAGTGTGACAGACTGAGCAAACACAGTATTTAGGTTCAGTGATGCTTACTCTGTTAACCAGTGTCCCAGATGACTGAATATGAGGACAGAGCACTGGGTAAACTGGTTCTGAAAGGAAAAACATTGCTGCTTACAGTGACTGTTGACTGAAAGATTGTTTTTTAAAAGTTGATGGATTAATTACTTGTTTCTCTTTCTTTTTTTAAAGTATGTATAGAAAATATGATTCAACTAGAATAAAAGCAGAGGAAGAAGTCTTTTCAAGTAAGAGATGCTTAGAATGGTTCTATGAATACGCAGGTAAGGGTGAAATGCAAATTTCCTCCTAACAACCATTTAAACTATGTTGGAACATAAAACTGATATTAACTGAGCTTTTCCAAGACTGAATATAGAGGCTTTTTTGTAAAAGTCTTAAAGAAGCTTTTCTTACATTCTGTGTAGCATGAAGTTGAAGAGGCAATTTTGTCTTTGCCTCTATCCTAGAAAAAGACTACGGAAGGTGTGTAACAAAGTTTTGGAACATGTATACCTTACTACTCAAATTCATAGTTAAAACTGTAGTTCTGTCCAAAATATTGTTACCTCTCCAGATTTAGAAGTTCTGTCATCTGGCACGTTAGTGCTAAACAGTACAGAATTATGCTTCAGAAATGTCCTTTTAATTAAAAAAAAAAAAAAAAGAGGGAGGTAGGTGGATCAGTTTTGCTCCTGATGAATCTGGTGCTTATGGTTTCAAGCAAAGAAGTGAACAAATTCAAGCATCACGTAGTCTTGTCTTTATATAGTTTTTGTCACAAGATGTGGGAAGGTAGACTGAATTATTTATTCTTGCACTTGTGTATGAGCAGTGTCTTCAGCCGTTACTTCTAGGACTGTTAATGATGATCTGCGCTCACAAAAGATGAACCTTTAATAGTGAAGTTGGTCATTGTATTTGGTTTTTTACATGTGGCTTTCTGAAGGGGAGAACTTGAAGTGTGGGGAAAATCTGTCTCATGACTGTAAAGACCAAAAGGGAATGAAATAGGTGATTGACAAAATAAGGCCATCTTGAGTTTTCTGATACTGTCTTAGATAACGTTGCTCACAGCTTGTTCTGGTTTGTCTTCTTGTTACACATAATGAAGAATGGCTTCATTTGATGTAATATCTTTTTCCTTCTAATAAAATAATATAAACTGAATTAAATACTTTGAGATCTTACTTGTCTGTGGCAGTCTGTGAGAGAAGATTTAGACAAATTCAAGCCAATCTAACCTGCTAGCTGATCGGCCTTTCTGACCAGCTGGATTTATTTTTTCACTCTAGCAACAGGGGTAACTCATTTTTGCCAAGACTTTCATGAAAAGAAGGGATGAAAGGAAGGTTGTATATCAGAGAACTTTCGGGTTTCCATTGGATGCATACACTACGATAAAACAGAGAAAAGCGGAGAGTATGATTCTGTTTACAGTACTGAGTAACAATCTAAAAAGTGAATTTTTTTAAAGAATCTCTTTTGTGTTCTTGCTTCATAAGTCTTCTTGTTTATATATGTAGACAGTTGATAGCATTTGGGCTTTTTTCCCCTAGCATGTCTTTACGTTACAGAATAAGTCTTTTTAAAGGCTGTTGTGTACACTCAGAATTTTGAGAGGATGTCCACAGAAGATGGGCAAAGAGATAATTAAATGTTGTTATTTTTAGAATAGTAGGTCACCTAATAATAAAACATAGATTGATCTTCCTTTTATAAAATCTTTCTTGCACATGTGCTCTTTATATCGGATGAAAGTAGGCATTTCAGCCTCTAGTTTTTTTTCCCAAATGAGCCCTTTTAAGCATGAGTAAAACAATTCTAACAAAATAGTCCAAATACTTAAAATGCACTTTAAAAATGGAATTGCACAGTAAAATTCTTAATGCCTGAATAATTTCTTGAATAGAGTATTGTAGAGGTTACAAATATCTTAATTTAACAACATATTTTAATCGTAGTGCATTTTAGTAGCATCTGTATTTTGGATCTCTTTTTTTTTTTTTCCTTTGAAGTCAGCAAAGAAATAGCTGTAATTCATGTCTTCTTTCCCCTGAAGTTATTAAAATTCAGATAATGCGCAGCCATGGTATAAAAATATGAATAAACAGGAGCATGAGATTTGTACTTTAGGGTCTCTTTTGTAGACCATGTTATATAAAGGTAGTATATGAGACAATAAGGAATGAGATTCTGGGAATGGTAATGACTGTGTCCTGTCATGCATGGCCATGCATCACGTTTTGATGTGATGTGATCTTACGATAACAGTGGAGATTGCAGCCAAGAACTGAGTTTCACCAACCACTGTCCACTCATTTACCTGTGGTAAGATTGCGTGGGTGTTCTGCTAGTCTTAAATGCATTCTTAAAGATCTTACCAGTTTACTCCTCCAAGATTATCTCAGTAAATGGGTAGAAAAAATTATATTGACAGGAATAGAAAGTTGGTTTATAGTTTTTCTGTCTCTGTTTGGAAAGATGAGATAAATCTTTAAGTGTATCCAAGTCTGATAGTAAATGTTGAAGTATTTATTGCATGTCAAAACAAATAAAACTGTGTGGAAGTTCGGGTTGTACTACATGATTGCATTTCTCTTCTGCTGTAAAGGTCAGACTGTTTTAATTTTCAGAGATAAGTAAAATGCATTTTTTTGCAGGTACTGATGACATTGTAGGGCCTGAAGGTATGGAGAAATTTTGTGAAGACATTGGAGTTGAACCAGAAAATGTAAGTTCAGAGTCCATTCAAAAGATGCCTAATCTGTTATGGTGTTCATGAGCCCATCTTAGATCTCTTACATTTCCATCAAGAATTAAAAATTTCTTGGGAGTTCTTTTAAAAATTACAGAAACATAAACCCAAGGAGGTTTATATACTCATTTGGAAACAACTTGCTTTTATTTTAAACCCCAAACTGTCAACCTGTAAAAACTCAGTTTGTCT